CCCTTGGGTGAGAAGGGGGTTTAAAGGAAAAAGGAGAGTAGCAGGAGATGCGCTGAATAGCGGTCCCCATAATCAAGTTTCATAAATAAGGGTGGAATGTAGGTGAAGGAGGGTTCGACTCACTCCCCACAAAAAGATGAGCAAGGGTTTTAAGAAGGTTCCGCCGGCTTCAATTGCCTTCAGAGAGGTTGGGGGTTTTTCCCCCGGATAACCTAGATAAAAGAGGGGGCCCAAAACTTGACTGATCCTTTCAGGGATACGTGAGCCATAGAGGTACAAAGGAATCAGAGATGACAGGCGTCTAGTGAAAGTGATTTGGGGGGTTTTTTAGTCGGGAAAATTTAAACCCCATGTGGGGGCCCAATTGGAAACAACGGTCGACTGCATGGGGGAGAGAAACTGAAAGGGGTGACAGTCAGCGCCTGCACAGGCAATAGAAAAAAGTCATCAAATAGAATGCCCAAAATTTTTTGATGGAAACAGAGGCCATATCTTTAATAGAAAGGGAGAAAAAGTTTGTGCCAAAACACATCCCTGGGGGACACCTTCAGTTTTGGACAAAGTCCGGGGAGAGCACATTATTAACCCGAACAGGGAAATGCCTGTCATTTAAAAAAAGTTTTAAAGGAAGGATGGTAAATTGCCTCAAAGGGCCTAAGAGGGGGCTTGGCAAAATATTATACCCCAAGTTGTGCATATGCCTTCTCAAGGTCAAAAAATATGCAATAACGAGTGGTTATCGAAAAGGCATACAACAACGTACCAAAGCGCAGAAAGGGGCTATGTAAACGTCCCTTACAAACCCATTTTGAGAGGGGAGAGCTTTGGTGTCTCTAAATCCCCCTAAACGTCTTTTTACTAGACGCCCATTACTTTGAAAAACTGCACTGTAAAGCAATGGGACGATTGGGGGTTTCTGTCCCGAGTGCCTGGTTTGCAAAAGGGAGAACAATGGCGGATTTCCACAGCTGGGGAAGAACCCTTTGTAAACCAAATAAGATTTAAATTTTAAAGGACTGCAAGGCTGACGATGTAAATGTTGTGCATACAATATAAAAGTCGTCGGCCCAGCGCCGAACGACAAGCTGAGAGTGTTCCCTCCAGTTTTTGAATGTAAAAGGCCATTATACTGTTCTTCTCTGAAGAAAAAACCCAAAGGGGTGCTAACTCCGGGCAGATTTGAGGAAAGAAAGGGGGGGGCATAGAGGGAGCCCCTGAAAAATAGGGCCCAAAGATTGCCAATTTCATTGGCAACATCTGGGGGTTTGCTATATCAACACCGGAAACCCGCAGAACAGGAGCCGGTCGGGAAAATTTTACCACCAGTTTTCGTATTTTTTTCCCCAGACGCCTCTAAGGAACAAGGGGGGGGGAACATAATCTCGCCACAATGCTTTTAGCTCGGATGGACAGGGCGAGCGATCGCCCCTTTTCTTTTTAAAAATAAAGGAGTGTCGTGGTTCTATTTACCGGTACCTGCCCCATGCAGCGCGTTTCAAACGTACTGCACACAAAAGCAGGAGACCCCCAAAGGGCACGCATTTCTGAAAATGCCTGCCCGAATTTTGGGGGTATAGAATGAGAAGCCGGGGAAAACGGGGGACGAAAGAGGTGTAAACTCATCGATGGAGGACGAAGAAGGAACCCTTAAAAACATCAGGTGGTGAGTAAATTTCCCAAATTTTGCCCATTAAATTGCCAGCGGGGGTGGAAAGGTGGCAATAGAAGGGAAGTAAAGAATGTTGGGGAAAGATCACTGTCATGTAAGTCCGGGAGAACAGACCAAGTAAAGTCAAGGGGCGGGGGAAGGCAAACTGAGAGATCGATCAAGAGAGAGTATGAGTCCGGGGATCAAAAGGGTGTGAGTACCTGTATTTTAAAACGGAGGGGGGGGTGGCAAAAAAGCCTCTAACTAAATTTCCCCAGGGGAATCAAGTAAACCCCTCCCCAGAGAAATGGGGGGCATTAAAATCACCAAGTAACAAAAACGGGGCGGAATGAAAAAACAAGGAAGGCAAAATCCGGAATAATAATCCCCGAAAGGAAGAGATAAAAGAACAGAGCGATCCACCTATGTAAGGGGATAGGGGGCTGCGTTAATGCAGCGAATTTGAACAAATCAGGGTACGGAATATCAGGGGGGAAAAAAGGGGACTTTCATTAAAGGCCCCATCGGGAAAAGGGACTGAAAATCAATAAATTATAGCCTGAGATGTGAAAATAACAGCAGAGTGAAATTTTGGTTCCTGTAAGCAAACCCCAACAGGGGCAAACGGGGAGAGAAAACATCTGAAGTCCCCCCCGTTCCCCCTGAGGCCGCGTATATTCCACTGTAAAAAGGGCCATGATTGCAATGAAAAAGATACTTGAAACCGCGGGAAAGGGGTTCCCTAGGGACTAAAAGGGGTTGAAAAGTCCACATGGGGAGGCATGGAAAATGTTCAAGCAGGAAGGAACGGTGGCTGTGAAAAAAGGATTGCGCGATGGAGCAGAGGAAGAGGAAGAGGGGAAGGTGGATCAGTGTCCTTGTGGTTTGGTCTCTGAATAATCAGAGATTGTTTCAAGTTTCGGAAAATTCAAGATGTCGTAGGGGAGAAAATATTGGGAAAGGGTAGGGGAGGATGAGTAAAAATTGGAACTGTATTGGACTGTACCAAGGGGGGGGGGGGGGGGGCAAAGGGGGGGGAACTGGAGAACGTGGCAGGGACAGAAAGACAGGAACCGGGGAGGGGCAGAAGAGGAAGAAACTTGGGAGGGAACAGGGGGGGAAAAGGTACATTCGGGAGGGGGGTGAACCTCTGCACTTGAAACTGACCCCAGTGGAGGGGAAGAACTAGGGAAAAGAACAGGGAGGGTAAAATGAGGGAGGGAAGATGGGTAGGGTGTTACCGGCCCTTTTTTTTGACTTTTGAAAAAGAAAGGGGACTTTTTGGAAGAGGTCACTGGTCTCGTCGATACTGGGGCTTGAAAGAGAGAACCGAAGAAGCGAATTAACGAGCGTTAAATGGGGACCCTGAGCCAGGACAGCAAAAGGATTAGATACAGGAGTGATTATGGGAAGGAACCACAGAGGGGTGTAAAAGAGGGGATCCCAGAAGTGGGGGACTTTTGAAACACGGAATAAAAACACGGGGAGTCTCCCTTGGGGGGCGGAGATGAAAACTGCCATGGCATAAGGGAGACCTTCTGCCCTCTTTGAGGAACGGTTTCCCCCGCTCGTTTAAATAGACCTAAAAACGGCAGAGTACAAGGGGACCTCATACAGTTAAGCAAGGGGGAAACGTTTGCAAGACTATTAGAATGGTCATCGCACCACAGACTGGGCATTCGGCGAAAACCCAAAAATTTTTCGCTGGAGGGCCCAAAATCGCCACATTCCCCTACACTTTTGTGGTGGGGATCACTTTTCGAACTTGTAACCGATGTCCTCTAATAAACGGAGGATGGGGTTCTCGGCTGTCAAAAGTTAAACAGCCACATTGCAGGTATCGTTCCCCCCCAGGGGGCAGGAAGAACGAAGTGTCTCCCTTTGAGATTGGAGATTTTGGGATTTCCAGCTTTTCTAGAATGGGGTGCCACTGTCTGGAAATTTTGTTAAACTTGGTAGGGGCAGAATAAGGGTAACCCTACAAGAATTGGGAATGATGTTTTTAAAGGGGACAGGAACAGTATCTATATGGGTAAGACGGGGCCACGACCGGGGTACATTCTGTACGGTAATGATGCGCGTACCGCTCTTAAGAGCATAAAAAGAAAAACTTTACCAAACGGCGTAGGAGTGCCTTTGCCAATACTAGGGTCGAAAGATGGCAGTAGAGGAATTGGTCGAAAAGGAAAGAATTAGTCCACTTTTCATCTGAAACTGACGGGGAAAGGTATAAAGGGAGTGTCATCGTTCTGAGAAAACGAAAAGGGTGAAGGGGAAGGGGTATCATCACAGTAATTGTCGTTGATTTAGGGGGTGGGACCCAATTGGTCCGACGGGGAACGGGTCGGCGATTTGAAATTCCGCACCGAAGGGAGGGGCCGAAGCATAGTCAGAGAGGCGAAGGTCTGATAAATCGAAGAGTCATCGAGGCCTCGTACCAAGCGGGTGAGGAACAAAACCGCAAAGGTACAGAGGCATGGGGAATGCTGAAGAGTGGTCCAAAGCCCAGGGGGGTCAAAAGGGGGGTGGGTATCAAGAAGGGGCCCGGGGGTACCAGGTTCATGGACTAGGCGCCATGGTTAGGTTATTTCTTTCTTTTTGTTTTTAAGAAAAAAAAAGAAAGAAAAAAAAAATAAAAAAAAAAAAAAGAAAAAAAAAGGGGGACCGGGGAGGTAGTTCCAGGAGGGAAAAAGGGCCAAAACTCCCCCCCGGCCCAAAGGATCGCACCGAGTCGCAGATGCAGCATGGACCCCCGTGCCATACC